ATTGTTTTAGAAAAAGAATGGCAGGACATTTCTTGATGATGATGACTGTTCAAGCTCATTCATAATTGAGTGGCATTTGTTATGCATCTTCCTGGAAATATTTTCTTGATTTTTTCATTGACTTGCCAACAACTTAAAATTTTTCTTTTGGTGTAAATGAAAAATTTTATAAATAGATTAATAAAGCTTTACAAATATTAGTTTGATACGTAAAATAATATATCATTTTGATTGTAGAAGTAACAAGAAGTATAAAAATATAAGAACAAACTCATGAGGTGAAGAACAAAAGGAATCCGCGCTAGAGAAAAACTCTGAACAGAGAGATATATAATTAGTAACGCAAAAGAAGTAGATAAATATATTAGTTATTTTAATTATTTAATCATTTTTGATAATTATATTAGTTATTTTAATCGTTTGCTAGAAAAATAAATACAACTTTAATTTACAAAAATAATATAATTACAATATCACGTAATTTTATAAATTTGTAACATAATTTAGCATTATATAATTATTTTTTTACTTAAGAGCTCCTCCACGATATTTTATATATTCATTTAATTATATACCATAATTATAAATTTATAATTTTATATGATGTTGTAATTATAGTATATAATATAAAATATTTAGATAAACAACCTGTGAAATACTGTTTGTTTTCATATATTTTACACTTTCATTCTTAAAGTCTTTCTTTTTGATACAATAAGATTCTAGTGTTGATTTCACTTGCATTTGCTAAGCCTCTTCCACGAAATGCACCCTGCTATTGCCTAGTGCCTATTTAAGTTGTTTCTTTTCCTTAGTTGTCTCATCAACCCCTCGCATCAGAAGTTGAACCTGCTGTTACTTCTAATAATTTACTTTCTTCGGCCCAAGTTGGTTATTAGTGTCTAACTTTACCTATTTCTTCTGCTAATCCTGCATGTAAGTACACAATCTATCCATACGTCTTCAAGATACTGTTTATTTTTCTTTGATATATATTTCAGTGATTCTTATGGAGTAGTTCATAACCATATTGTTAGATTTAGTTTATGTTTTGTTTATTTTTTTTTTCATATTCTCATTTTAATTGATATTCCATTTGAGGTCTCTCTCCCCA